ACAGTATTTTTTTGATGAACCTATATTCATATCACAATTTTTAAATGCTATTGGTTTTCTTGTTTGTTTGTTTGTTTTTGGCTGTGTTGGGTCTTCGTTGCTGCGCATGGGCTTTTCTCTAATTGTGGTGAGCGGGGGCTGCCCTTCATTGCAGTGCGTGGGCTTCTCATTGCAGTGGCTGCTCCTGTTGCAGAGCGCGGGCTTTAGGAGTGCAGGCTTCAGTAGTTGTGGCGCGTGGGCTCAGTAGTTGTGGCTCGTGGGCTCAGTAGTTGTGGCTCGCAAGCTCAGTAGTTGAAGCACATGGGCTTAGTTGCTCTGCAGCATGTGGGATCTTCCCAGACCAGGGATCAAACCCGTGTCCCCTGCATTGGCAGGCGGATTCTTAACCACTGTGCCACCAGGGAAGTCCCTATTAGTTTTTTTGGCCACATTTTTTTTTATGGAAGTGTAGTTGATTTACAATGCTTTGCCAATCTCTGCTGTACAACAAAGTAACTCAGTTATACACATATACACATTCTTTTTTTAATATTCTTTGCCTTTATGGTTTATCACAGGATATTGAACATAGTCCCCTGTGCTACACAGTAGGACCTTGTTGTTTATCCATTCTAAATGTAATAGTTTGCATCTACCAACCCTAAACTCCCAGTCCATCTCGCTCCCTCCCTCCTCCCCCTTGGCAACCACAAGTCTGATCTCTATGTCTGTGAGTTTATTTCTGTTTTGTAGATATGTTCATTTGTGCCATATTTTAGATTCCACATATAAGTGATATCATATGGTATCTGTCTTTCTCTTTCTGACTTACTTCACTTAGTTTGATAATCTCTAGTTGCATCCATGTTGCTGCAAATGGCATTATTTCGTTCTTTTTTATGGCTGAGTAATATTCCATTGTATCCATGTACCACATCTTCTTTATCCATTCCTCTGTTGATGGACATTTTGGTTGTTTCCATGTCTTTGCTACCGTGAATAGTGCTGCTATGAACATAGAGGTGCGTGTATCTTTTTTAATTATAATTTCGTCCAAGTACATGCCCAGGAGTTGTATTGCTAGTTCATATGGTAATTCTATTTTTAGTTTTCTGAGGAACCTCCATACTGTTTTCCGCAGTGGCTGAACCAACTTACATTCCAACTAACAGTGTAGGTGGGTTCCCTTTTCTCCACACCCTCTCCAGCTAAATGCTATTAGCTTTTTTGATGGAGAAAAATAATTCACTGATTACCTATCACAGCTTCACTGGGGCAGAATGTGGATGGAGTGGTGTTAACAAAGGCTTGGGGATATCAAGCATGCATTTATCCTTCGGGTCTGGAAGTTTCTTGAGTCCCAAGAGTCTTTTGATGCTTGTAAGGTGTATGTCCTCTGCAATGAGTGCCATGGTTTAGTGGTGCCCTGCAATATTTTTATCAGGAGGCTGGACTGAAGTCTAGTGCCCTCTCCCAATATATCATGATGGGTCCCTCCTGAGAAGGGAGGTCATTCTCAAGAGCCAGTACCTGAGGAAGAATGGGTTTTTCAAAGTGGAAAGTGAACCTGGGAAGAAGATGCTAAAGATTACGATGAGACAGAGGACTGGGTGTGCAGCCTGTCCCCTCATGGATCTTCACAGAGGATGGGCAGGACCTGGGTGCCTCTGGAGGGAGCCTGAACCCTCACTGAAGGAAGCCTGGTTAGTTTTATAGTTCTTCTGGGTGCTGTGTTTCTGTTCCTATTGTCTCCCTGTAGGGCTTATTAACTCTACCCAGTATAATCATCACAGGTTTCTTAGATGTGTTCTGCTTAAAGAAGCCAAAGACTGGGTTTCTAGCTATGCTTGGTTCCGAGAATGGAAAGGACAGTGGCAACCTGAAGGGCAAGCGGGGAGAGGCAGTGGGAATGAAGAAAGTGACCCGAAAGGGAGAGTGAGCAGAGGCGGATAGAGTTAGGGCTGTTTGATCCAGCCGGCCCTCCTGCCTGGAAATTCTCCTTCCTGAGCCAAATCTTAGAAGTTCTGGTTTGTAAAATAATAACACTGATAATAATTTTTAAATCATTTTCGTACTCTGTGTATAAATAACTGCATGGCAATTCTAGAAAAAGATACAAATTCAGATAACTAAAATCAAAAGCAAAACAAGGGATAAAGAAGAAATCTAAAATTACTCCTTATCTTACAACCTGTCAGTGTTTTGGTGTATAGCCTTCCAACATTCTTAATGAATTGACCAATTTTCTAAATCAGGTTACTTTCTATATTTATCAGCTTTTTATTTTGCTGCTTACTATGCTTTAGGCTTATTTCTACGTTCTTCTACAGCATCATCTTTTAAAAGCTGCATTGTGTTTTATGTTCTGGATGGTTCATAACTTATTAAACAATCCCCTCTTACTGGATATTTAGGTTGTTTTCAATTTTTCAGGCTTATAAATAACAATAAAGAGCAACCCTATAGCTAAGTCTTTACACATACGTGTATGCCCCTAGAACAAGTCTCAGGAATCAACTCCCTCGATTAAAGGGTGCTAGGTTTTGTCTCCATCCCTGAGCAGGCCCCAGGGAGGGCTGGGCGTTTCTGGAGGTCTTGGCACTGAGCCTTGCGCCAAGCTCCAGGGCCCACCCAGCCCCCAAGTCTGCATGATCCATGTGGTCCAAAATATCCTCCTCCCTTCTCCCAAACTCACCCCCAGGCTGTGGGCTCACCTGAGAGAATGAAGTACACCTCCCAGCCAGACATGGGGCCGTTTGTCTTATGCTCTGGGATCCTGATGAGGTAAAACCTGGGCAGAGCACGTGTCTTTATTTAATGTATTTCTGGGTGGGCAAGCCCCTGCCCTTGGAGATCGCCTTTCTCCAGATCGGGGTTAAGAGTTTACGGGGAGGGGCTTCCCTGGTGGCGCAGTGGTTGAGAGTCCGCCTGCCGATGCAGGGGACACGGGTTCGTGCCCTGGTCCGGGAAGATCCCACATGCCGCGGAGCGGCTGGGCCCGTGAGCCATGGCCGCTGAGCCTGCGCATCCAGAGCCTGTGCTCCGCAGCGGGAGGGGGCACAGCAGTGAAAGGCCCGCGTACCGCAAAAAAAAAGAAAAAAAAAAAGAGTTTACGGGGAGGAGCAGCAGGTCATGGCAGCCAGCTCATCCCATGAAGGCCAGAGGGGGTCCCACTTCCCCCTGTCCCAGGCCGACCCTAGCCCCAGTTCCAGCCTCCCAAATCCTCGCTCCCAACCTGGGGCACAGGAAACATCAAGAGCCATTCATATAGCTGAGCTGGCAACAAGGATTCCGCTCTTCAGAGAAGGAGCTGGGTTCCGAGCGATGTGCCTCAGTCTCTCGTGCCGTGAGAAGCAGAGTCTCCCTGACCCCTATTCCGGGCGCTGGATGCCACTGCGAGGCCTCGCTGGCATTGGCTTCTGGAGAACTGCTGAGGTCTCCGGTTTGTCTGAGCCCGTACGGCGATCCCCTCTCTGGGGCTTTATCCTTGTTTTAGGCTCAAACTCTGCCAGTTCCCCCTTGAGACCCCTCAAAGATCCAGGGTTCTCTTGTGCTCAGACAACCAGGACACCCCTCCTAATGCCACCTGCCACCTGTCCTGAAGGTCACAGCTTTGACTCTCTGAGTTTGGTGTGTCTCCATGTAGTATGGGGGGCATGCGGCTCCCAACCCCCATCAGATCACCAGGGGAACTCTGTAAATACGCAGGGTTCAAGGCCTCTCCCCCAGAGACACAGACCTTGCAGGTCTGGAGAGGTGCCCTGGAACCCGTATCTTCACAAAATGTGGTCCTCCCGGCTCTTTGCACAGAACTGGCTTCCTGACCCTCATCTCAGCAGATATGGGGGGACAGGGAATTTGGCCCCCAGGTCGAGCAGGCCCAAGGCAGGGGAAGCAATGACAAACAGATGGGCTACAAGTCTGCTTCCTCGGGTAACCTAAGTTCAGGAGCTTTGGCAGCCAAAAGGGCTTCTGCTGGCTGGGGGACTTGGCCACGGGCAACCTGAGAGCCAGACAAAGCCATCCTCACAGCCTCTCTGGCCGTGAGTCCCCAGGCGCTTGCTTGCCCCGGATGCACAGGCACGCCTCTGTCAGCCGGGCCTGCAGGGGTTTGTGGCCAGGAGAATTATAGCAGCCATCCTCAGCTCCTGTGGACACCTCCTCCAGAAGGCTCTGGAAACAGCACACTGGGTTTGAGGAGAAAGGGCCTCTGTGAGCCAGAGGTGGGTCTCTGCAGACAGAGGCCCCCACACCTCCCTTCCTGTTCTAATACCACCCCCTGCCTGGGCACCGGGTCTCCTGTGTCAGCCCAGGGGACTCAGGGAGGCCAAGCCCCTTCAGGCTGCTGCCCCTCCCCAGCCCCGAGGCAGGAAGGTGAGCCTCCTTCTTTCTCTACCAGGGCCCCTTGGGAGCCCCTAGGGCTGCGGTGGGTGGTGTGATGGGCCAGAGGTCCCTGCGGGCAGTGGGGACCCCACAGATGGCCTGCTTGGTTCCAGCCATTCCTGATTTCTGGATTTTTGACAATTAAAGAAATTTATTAAATGTTCAACAAAACTCATTCTCTATTTGAGTTCATGGCAACTCCATGCCTTCAGTTGCTCGGGCCAAAACCTTGGAATTGCCCTTGAATCTTTGCTCTTAGACTCCATGTTCAGTCCATCAAGAATCCTGTCAGCTGGATTCCAACATATTCCAGACCCCAGCCACCTCTCACCATTTCTGTTCTGGCATTTCTTGCCCAGATAATTTCAACACCCTTCTACGTGGTACGCCTGCTCCACAGAGCAGCCAGGGAACAAAGCTGGGTGGTGATGGGGGCTCTGCCACTGACCCCCATGTGTGTTCAGGACCCTCCTGTCCAGATTTGATTGCATCTCGGCTGGTCTTACCAAGAAAAACAGTTCATTAGTCATGGACAAATGAGATTCCTTTTATATCTTTACAAAATATCACAATGCCCCAAATTCTTCTTCAGATCTTACGTCCTAATTCAGGGTTTATGAAATCTACCATCCTCACAGGGACTCCTCTCCGGTTTGAGGACTTTGAGCCATGAGCCAAAGCAGGAAACTCAGCAATCCAGGGGCCTCTCCGAGATGCTGAGACAGGGCCGTGGAGCCCCAAGACTGCAGTGCCCTGCTTGGAATCTGCTGTGGGATGATTCTGCAACCGATGTGATGATGCAACAGCTGTGCATGAATGACATGAGAAAGCTGGGCCCCTTGGCCCTAAGGGATGCTTCCACCACACTGTCAGCAGGAGGGAGCTCCTCCTAGGAGCTTAAATCAGGACTCATCTTTCTGTGGGACCCAAGCCTCCATGTTGGGTGATGTGGGCAGAAACGGGTTTTTCCTGGGAAGCTGGGGGGCGTGGGTGTGTACCTGTGTGTGATGACACACCCTGCCCTGCATCCCCTGCAGCTCCTCCAATCTGGAGTTGACAGTGACCAGGCTCAGCCTCTCCCCACTGGCCTTCCTACCCCCAGCCCCCCCGCTCTTCAAGGCCGAGCCCTGCAACGGGCCTCAGAGGGCAGCTCTCCCAGGCTTGCTTTTGCTTAGCCTTGTTTTCCAAGCCACTGCCATTGGACTGGACTCTCCCTGGCTGTAGCTGAGTACCCCATATCAGGGCTCGGAGGAGCCCGGCCATCTTGCCCAAGTAAGGACTTGAGGCTCAGAGAGAAGGAGGCCCCCGAGCCCGCGTGGCCCAGCAGGTCCACGGTAGAAGGGGGATCAGAAACCAGAACCGCGTTTCAGCACAAGCCAGGCCTGCTGGGAAAGGGGTCGGGCAAGGAAGGAAGGAAGAATGGGCAGCTCTCAGGCTGGGGTGCCGGAACCTCACGGTGCTGGAGCTCTCCTCACCTCCAACTTAGCCCTGAGGCCTGCTCAGGCCCGCTCCCTGCCAGCCGTGCCCCCTCTGTCTTCATGAGCCCCCAGGGCCTGCCAGAGGCTTCCTGTTTCTGCTGCCTTGCGTCCATCCCCCTGCAGTTCCCTCCCTCTCTTGGCCGTGGCCTCTCTAGTCTCCAGACAGGAGAACAAGCGCTGGAGGGGAGAGGAGGGTCTGTGCTGGACTCGGCCAGCCTCACTTCCAGCCGGTCTGGCTGCTCTCCCCTTGACAGACTTCCTAGAAGGCACCACCCCGACCCTCCCCACCTCCACCCCGGCCCTGACTCAGCCCATAAATTACCTGGGGATGGTCGCTGACTCAGCCAGGAAGCCCGGAGCGCCCTCCTCTCCATCCCCAGGCCTCAACCTCACAGCTGGCTCTCATTCCAGAATGCTTGGTCTCCTCCCCTCAGGAAATTCCTGGAAAATATCAGGCTTCTTCGAGGGGAGATCTCCTGACCACAGCCGCAGCAGGGAAGGGAGCCGCTGCAGCCTCATCCATCATCCTGTGGCCCCGGCCCTCCTCCCCCAGATCCCCCAGCTTGTTTGTTTATGTGGGGCTGAGTGTGGAGGTGTCGGTCTCCATAAAGTGACAGGCACCTGGCTGTGGAGGGACCACAGAGGCAGGGAGGAGAGGCCAGCGTGGAGTGGGGCACTCTGGGCAGGCTGCTGGGAGGTGGGACCAGTCCCGGGCCGGGAAGGATGGTGAAACTGAGAAGTGGAGAGATGGGAAGGGAGCTCCAGGCCCAGGGAATGGCCTGAGCAAAGGCACGGAGGTGGGAAGCAGCCCAGTCTCTACATGGAATAGGGAGGGGGCTGGAGAGCAAGCAGGCTAAAGGGGTCGCTGAGCAGGGGAGCCTGTGCTACACAGCTCCTGAAGCCCGCGTGCCTAGAGCCCATGCTCTGCAACAAGAGAAACCACCGCAATGAGAAGCCCGTGCACCGCAACAAAGAGTAGCCTCCACGGGCTGCAACTAGAGAAAGCTCGCGCGCAGCAATGAAGACCCAACACAGCCAAAAATAAATAAATAAATAAATAAGTTTATAAAAAACAAACCAAAAAAAACTTTTTTTTTTGTTACTTCCCCTCAGACAATAACAACTTTTTTTTTTTTTTTTTGTCTGCATTGGGTCTTCATTGCTGCGCGCGGTCTTTCTCTAGTTGGGGAGACAGGGGGCTACTCCTCGTTGTGGCACGTGGGCTTCTCATTGCGGTGGCCTCTCTTGTTGCAGAGCATGGGCTCTAGGCGCACGGGCTTCAGTAGT